AGCTCCTGCGAGCTGCACCTGGCAGGTGAGGCTGGTGTCGTGGTCCTGGGGCCGTGGGGTGAGAATGAGCTCTGAGGACTTCAGGGTCCCGGGGTCCATGGAGTTCAGGGCGTCACCCGACCAGGAGAAGGTGAGGGGGCGCCCCCCTTGGCAGGACCCTGGCAGGCTGCAGCGGAGGCGTGAGGGGCGACCAGACTCCAGAGGCTCGGGAACGTGGATGGCGGGTTTCTCTGTCAGGCCTGGGGAGGGCACAGGGAGCTGCCTGGGCCCAGGGTGGGGCCCGCACTGTGACCCCGACAGTCACTGTGCCTCAGGGACTGAGTGAGTTCATGTCCTGTAGTCCTGTGACCTCCCCAGACCCAAGACCGAGCAGAGAAAGTGCCCAGGGTATGGGGTGTCTGGGACTTGAGGCCCCTCCTGGGGGCTCTGCCTACCTGTCACCTGCACATTCAGCCTCTGATCTGCATACGTATATTTTATCTTTCTCGTGTCTATTGTGAAGGCGTAAGTTCCCTCGTCCTCCATCCTGGCGTCTCTAATGCTCACGGAGCAGTCTCTGCTCTTGACTTTCCCCACAAGCTGGAATCGAGCCTTGGTCTCTGGCTTCACTTTGTGGTCTGGGTCGTTTGTGGCCACGGGTTCATCACAGTTCATGTAGCTCCTGGCTCGGAACCAGGAGATGAAGAGCTGCCCCGAGGAAGACCAAACCCGCGAGGGGTAGGAGAAGGAGCAGGGCACCAGCACGCACAGGCCCTCCTGCACTGTCACCGTGCCCTGCACCCGCAGCTGGAAGCCTGGATCCTCCTGCAGGGACCCTGTGGGGACACAGACGCTCAGCTGCGCCCTGACCCCCAGCCCGACCCCCACTCCACTCACTGGTCCACAGCAGAGGCAGCAGCAGCAGGGCCAGCATCCTGCACGGCCAGGCCGGGGCCAGGCATTTCCTGTCAGTTAAGCAATGCCCGGCTGTGGGGTGGGGTGAGGAAGCCGCAGGATGCAATGGGTGCGGGAGAGCTGTGGCCGCCATCGAAGGGGAACTTGGTGCTGCGTGATGTGAGGGGAGAAGCCGGGACCGGGTGAGCAGTGGAGGCGGAGTAGAAAGAACAGAGACGCGTGGGCCAGGGATTTGGCTCAGTGCTTCCACCACCTGCCTCTCAAGCGCAAGGGCCTGAGTTCGATCCCCAGTACCAGAAAAAAGAACAGAGAAATGAGGCTCAGCTGTGGGGTGCAGGGCGGGGTGAGATGTGTCCAGACTTAGGAGGTGGGAGTGCAAGGTGAGAAACCTGTCCTCACGCGTGTTGTCCACACGGGGAAGAAAACACCTGCTGTCCTGTTCCCTGGACACTGGAGATCTGGATGCTCAGGGAAGATCAAGGGGAACAGAGAGGAAGTTCACCACTCCCTGAAGGGAGCCCCAGCTGAGGCCAGGCAGGGGTCTCCCCCCATCAGGAGGGCAGGCAGCATCTTCCCACAAAGGCCTCAGGGAATGTGACCTTGGCCCCAGCATTCATGAGAGATGTGGTCCTCAGCAGCAAGCCCTTGGGTCTCCAATTCCCTTGTCCTAGGCGGACTAGAGCGGTGATGTTGATGTCCAGACCGGGCCCAAGCCCTGGAGGTGCTGAGAACACAGAGTGAGAACCCAGACCCTTCATCTCAAGCTAAGCAACCTCACAAATAAATATTACTGGAACTCTGAGGCGCAGCTGGATCCTCCGAAAGCAGAGACAATTCTACAGATGCGGCACGGAGTTAAAAGAGTTCAGCTGTGTAACACACTTAGGAGGGTGCCTGGCACCGAGGATCTGCTCTCCAACTAATGTCCCTTGGGTCCCAACTGTTGTAGCAGCTACAGATGCTGCACAGGCAAGCTCGTGACAGGACAGTGAGCTCTGGTGGGGAGATGGACATTAAATATGGCGATCACCCAAGAAGATGAACGGAAAGTTCTAGATGTCAGACCCCTGTAAGTTTCAGTTTCACCCCATCCTGAGGAGTGTGATGAAATCTGGTGTGGCCCCCTCTGCCCCACCCAGGATGTGAGTCATCCTCTGTCCAGGGTACCCACACTATGTATGATACGTATCCATTAGTCACTTAGCATCTCAGCGACTAGGTCAGCTTTTACCCTACTGCAGGGCTTGTGTTTTTTAATTTGTCCATGTTTGCAGTGTGTAATGACTGCCTTCATCCTGGAGAGCTGCTACATGGGCATAACACAGCTTATTTATTATTTTTTTTGGTACCGGGGATCGAACTCGGGACCTTGTGGCTTGTGAGGCAGGCAGCAGAACCACCCAGCTAAATCCCCTGCCCACAACTTATCCTTTTTCACCCCCTTCCCTACCTCTCCCTCCATCTATCTTCTTGGTTTCTGTTATCTTTTATTTTGCTCTGCTGTTATCTTTATTTTACACTTCGGGTTTCCCATATAAGAGAAAGCATGAGATATTTAAGCTTGTGTGTCTACTTCACTTCACTTAACAGTAGGGTGTCAAGTTGCACCCATTTTCTTACAGATATAACCTTCATCTTAGTTAACAGTGGGCCCAAAGCACCCAGTATTCATGTTGACTGTGTGGATTTGCCAAAGAGAAGCCATAAAACGCTTCCTTTAAGTGAAAAGGTGAAAGTTCTCAGCACAGATATGAGTGAACTTCAGTACTCTGTGGTTTCAGGCACCCATGGGGGTCTTGGCCTGTGTCTCTTTCAGTCAAGGGGAGAATTACTGTATAAAGATGTGACTCACACTGCTACGGAGGCTGACGAGCCCCAAAATCTGCAGACAGCAAGCTGGGACCCAGCAGTCACTGGTGTAGCCTCAGACCACAAGGGGGCAGGAAGAAGCTATGTTCAAGTCCACAGGCAGGGAGACACTGCTGCTCAGAACGAAGACCTTCCGAGGGAGGAGTTCCGCTTACTCACAGGAAGGCCAGCCCTGCTGCCTGTTGAGCTCTTCGTCTGTTGGCGGAGGTCTACTCACACCGGGGAGGCTGGACGCAAAGTTCGCTGATCCAAATATTGATCTCATTCCACAACGCCCTCCTGGCCACACCCAGAGCTCTGTTTGACCAAATGTTCAACCCATGACCCCGTCCGGTTGACACCTGACATCAACCATCACACCGAGTGAGTTGTCAAAACAGTTCTTGAACAAATCAAGGATGGGAAATAATTTGCTTTCACGAGAGCCCTCTGCTCGCTGTGCAGTTTGGACCCTGCCGGTGGTGGGAGGTGGGGGTCCTGGGGTCTCGATGTAGGTGGCGAGGTGCTGGGAAGAGAAGGGATTTTCAGTGTTCCTTGACAGATCAGATACGAGGATGAGAAAGAAAAAGTTAGGATGAGGCTGAAGTTTGGGGCCTGCGCAGTTACAAACTGAAAGTTGCAACTTTTAAGAGAACTTTTAAGAGAATTGAAGTTCAGCCTGGAGCAGGTTGGGTCAGATATAAAAGGAGAGAAAGAGAGGTATGTGGGTCCGGACTTGAAGAGAACTTCTGGCTGGACACACGAGCCTAGGGTCACCTCCATGATGAAACGGCAAAAGTCTCCGTTTAGTTGAATTAGCTCATTGTCGCCAGTCCAAGGGGATGGGATGCACTTATCAGGGGCCTCAGAGACAAAGCTTTAATTAACGCCAGGGGCTCAGTCTGGTTCACGCGCGGGAGACTGGCCCTGCTCAAGGCTTGAACAAAGAAGATATACATCCTAGGAGGGGGAGTTTCAAGTGAGTCAACTTCGGTACACATTCATTGGTTACAGAAACAATGTGCGTTAGCAACTGGGCTCAGCCACGTACTGGCTCACACACGATACCGATAACTTGTTTGCTGGGTGATTTAAGGTGAGGGCTGTCTCATTAGCATTCTGGTGAAATGACAAAACTCTTCCGGAGACACATTCCTAAGATGGGGAAGTTGGTTTGGGCATGTCCAGACAAGTGAGGTCGGGCAGGCCGGGCTATGTGGAACAAAGAAAAATTTCAAGTAGGGAGTTTCTATTAGTAAGTCCAGCTTGAGCTACAGGAGCAAAATTTCCTTTCAATACCATACTGATGGTATCTGAAGTCAGGAGCTTGAGAAATATCCCACAGGGCTTGAGTTTAAATGGAAAGGGGGCATGAAATATCTCCAGAGGCTTTTGGACCCGGTATCAGATTCACCTCCCACAGAAACACAGGGTGTAACCTCAGCAATTTAGATGTCTATTTGGGCCAAATAGGGCTGCCCATTTGGTCAAACGTATTCTGAGTCTTTATGCCACAATGTTTGGATGAGATTAAGTCTCAAAACGCTGGGAAGGCTAACAAAGAGACAGAAGATTTTTCAGTCTAAATTCTACAAAAGGGTGGAAATTCAGAGAAGGCCCCAAAGTCAAAGATGCCGTGGGAAAGCACACAAATGTAGTCCGGGCGCTTGGGAGACTGAGGTAGGTAGATTGGCAGCAGGCACGACCCACCCTCCCTGCCCTCCCTACCCTCTGGCTATCGCCCCAGCCAGTAGCAGGGAAGACGGGGCATCTGTAGGGTGGAGGGTCAACACCCTGCCCTGGGAAAGATCCCGTTCTCTGACTCGAGTGAGCGGGACACAGAAGAGATGAGTAAGAGGGAAGGAAGTTGCATTCAGAAGCCATAGCTCAGAGACATAAGAACCTTGACAGAGAAAAGGAAGACCCCCTATCATGTCCCCAGAGAAGGAACAGCCCAGCTGGAGGGGCCGACCTCGGGGTCCTACAGGATCATGGACTTAGTGAGCAGAGTCCACCCAGCCCGGCTCTTCCGCTCCTTCTGAGGATATCTGAGTCCATGTGGAAATTGCCAGCCCAACCTCGGCTTCCAGGACCAGACCTGCAGCGGCTGCCCTGGCTTCCCCTTCCAAGTTTGACCTTCCTGGCCATCGTCCTTACTTCCTCCCCTCCACGTCTGAGTTTCCCAAGCTTGAATGACATCCCGGGGGTCTCTCGCAGCTCTGTCGTCCTGTGCTGTTACCGTATTGGTTACTTGCTCGGCTGTTGTTTGACTCCCCAGATCTCGGTTCTTCCTCTGGCGGCCCCATTGTGATTTTCCTCGGGGGCACTGGACTACCCTTCCATCACCGTTGGCCCATGTCTTGCTCTCGGGGAGTCTCTGAGCCAACACTGACCAATCAAAGTAAATCGTTATTCATGAACCCTAAGAAAGATAATATATGCATCCTAATATGAACAACATGAACCCTAAGAAAGAAAGGGCTGTGGTGGCCAGTGGTCTAGGTCAGCAGGGGTGGCGGGGATGGGAGCTGGTTTTCTCTTCTTCCCTGGGATCCCTGGCCATGTGAGGCTCCGTAGGGTGGAGATGGGTGGTGGGCTGAATATCTAATTTATATTGCTTCTGGCTTAGTGAGGTCACTCCTCATTGCTTCCTCCAAATTTTTAGTATTTTTGACACAATATCATGGGTTAATCGTGCTGGGGAATGCGAAACAAATATTTGTTCCCACGTTGGGGAGGAAGAGCCTCACAGTGCATAGGGCAGGAGAATCCCATCCCACACGGGAAGCCGCCCCGCTGGAGCGCAGGGCTGGCAGTTTTGAATTCACTACGTTTCTGTGGATGGGGTTTCCATTTATTTTCTCTAGATTTTAAAATCCTGAGGGCTGCAGGATTTGAGCATCTTTGGTTTGTGCTGTGTGTGATGCAAAACTCCGCGGGGATGTCATTCTTGTACACCACAACCTGAAGGGAACTGGAGCGGGAGAGAAGGAGCCGAGCACAAAGGCAGAAGCCGTGTCTGAGAACCCGCTACGCAAGGTGTGAGGCTGGAGCCTGGGGCAGAGCTGAGGAAGGGCTCCAAATCACATGAGCAGGAACCCCAGGAAGGATGGCACTTGTGCTAGTCATTTTCCATCGCTGTGACAAAGTATCTGAGAAGAACCAACTTTTGGCCCACGGTTTTAGAGGTTTCAGCTCATGCTCAGTGGGCTCCATTGCCGTGAGGCCTGTGGTGAAGCAGGATGGCATCATGGTGGCCAAGAAAAAGAAGAAAAATGAGGAGAGGGAGGGGAAGGAGAAGAGAGACAAAGGACACTGGGACCTGGGGGCAAGAGTTACCCTTTCAGGCCCTCCCCCAGTGACCTAAGTCCTAAAGTTTCTACTTCTACCCCCTCCCAAGAGCGCCCCCATCTGGGGACTGAGTCTTCAACGCAAGAGTCTTTGGGGAATATTCAAGATCCCAGCCACAACAGTACCCACCCTGGACCAGCAGTAGCTGTGGCTGAAGGAAAATCTAGGCACTTACAGTCAGTTGCTCACCCCATTTGACTTGGCTTCCAATGAGCAGGCTGAGTCCAGCTCCTATTTGCATTTTGTTTTCTTGGAACAGTTAGGACATTTTTAAATTAATTTACAGCATCGCAATATTGGGAGACATCTCACACTAACATAGGAGTGCATATTTCTCTTGAAAAGTTGGAAGACCCAGCATCCCAAGAGTAGAAGCCAGTGGAGGCTGAGCAACAGTCCATCACTCCACTTTGCTGTACTCTGCACCCCAGGCACCATGTGTCAGAATACTCTCCCAGTTTTATTTTCCTGCACAAACATATCTTGCCTTTTTAAGCACAGCTGCCTCATCCACGTTTGGATTTGATACGGGGTCCCTGACCTTATGGAAGTTCCTCCCAAAGTGTCTTCCTCTAATTTACCAGCAGAGGTCAAGCACACCTTGAGAGAAGGGAGGAAAACGGAGTCCAAGGGCTCCCTCTGCTGGTCCAAGTGAGATCCGCATTGACTTCAGAGAAGACATTCCCAAAGAATAAAAGTGGAAGACTGGGCCTCCAACAAAAGCGAAGAAAGGAGGAGGAGGAGTAGGAAGAGGAAGGACAGGGGGAGGGGGAGGGGGAGGAGAAGAAGAGAAAATAAAGATCATCAAGCAGGAGGCTTCACGTTTCAGCTCTGACATTCAAACAGCTTGTAGATTGTCATTCTCATCCTTACAAGTGAAAGCTGAACAACTTCTCTGGCACATCAAGGGAACTAAGGTCAGGCCAGGGATTTAGCTCAGTGGTTTTGCCGCCTGCCTTGCAAGCATAAGGGCTTGAGTTCGATCCCCAGCACAAGGGGTGCGGGACTAAGCTCACAGAGCAAACCGTTACCCTCAAACCTCAAATCTGAGGAGCATGGCAAATATGACGCTGTGACTGAGATATATTTGCCTCAGGCAGAAGCTTTTGGAGCCATACACACCAGCAGGGACACTGTGTAATAATTTTGACGAGGTGCTGAGGCTGTGCATGGACTAGTTCGGGGGGAGGGACTCTTGCAGCGTCGGCTCTGAGGGATCCTCACCCTTTCATGGGTTTTATCTCCAGTAGCCCGACCAGACTTGCACAGAGAAGAACGCAGAGAGAGGGAAGAGCAAACTTTTCTATTTTTTTTTTGAGACAGGCTCTTGTTATGTAGCTCAGGCTGGCCTTGAACTCACTATTAGCCCAGGTTGGCCTGGAACTTGTGGGGATCCTCTTGCCTCAGCCTCCTGAGTGCTGGGATTACCGGTGTGCACTATCATTCCAGGCTTTTGAAAATTTATTTTTTTATTGGTGAGTAACCTTTTCTAAATGCACACAGAGCCCTCTCCACAACAGAGGCCACTGCAGAGGGGAGGGCATTCGGAACCTTCTCCCACCTGCAGGACCCATTCTTCCAGGCCCAGCACACTGGTACCTTCCTGTCTCATCTAAAACGGGATGAGGGAAGCTGAGACTAATTTGTCAAGGCTACAACCCTCTGAAGACTGGAGCTTAATCACAAGACATAGTGGGCTGGAAAAAGCCCCCAAAGAGATAGAGATGCCAACCCCTAGAACCTGCGAGAATGAACTCAGATAGCAAAAGAGACTTTGCTGATGTGATTAAGTTCAAGATCTTGAGATTAAGGGATTACCTTGGATTATCCTGGATGTCTTTAAATGGAATCACGGGAGCCTTTAAAACACAGGCAGAGGGAGACTGACTGTAGAAGAAGCGAAGACAGTGTGGGAGGAAGCAGAGGTCACAGTGACGCAGGAAGGGGTCACAAGCCAAGGGGTACGGGAGGCCACTAGATCCTGAGTGCTCTAAAAATAAAGTCTTTTTTTGTTTTTTAAAGCCACTGCAGTCTAAAGAGACAACCAAGGGTCTGTCCCAGACTCAGATATGACACTGCTGTTGAAATCACCTCACAAGGAATTTTTAAAACCTGTGACTCGTGTGTGAAGAGCTCTAACAGGAGAAGCCTGGGAGGACAGATGGGTGATGTGGTGGAGATGGAAGCCCTCAGCCAAGAGGCCATGCTGGAAATCAAAGGCACGTGACAGAAGTCGCAGGCGTCGAGGTCGTTTAGCCCCCCCACCAAACTCACATATGAAGGCCGATAGTCTCGTCATGGGATGTTGTGGGTTTTCTTTGAACGCTATGCTGTGACTGTAAACAGTGGTACTTTGCTTCTTGCTCTCCCGTCACATGCCTTTCGCTCTTCCTATTGTCACTACAACGCGGACTAGAAGAGGCGACGGTGCACACCGTTATCTTCTCGATCTTAAGGGAAACGTGAATATTTCACTGATCCAGGATAACCGGAAGCCCATGCTTCATCGTACAGTGAATCCAGTGCCACTTGCCAAAATAATTCTAGTTCAGAGTTATATTTAGTTTGCATAAGAGTTTTCAAAAAAAAATTTTTTTTGTACCGGGGATCGAACTCAGATTCTTGCATTTGCGAGGCAGGTGCCGGAACCATTGAGCTAACTCCCCAGCTCAAAATACTTTAAATTCACTGATAACATTTAAAATTTGGAGATCTCCAATAATCAGAACACACGGCTTCTCTTGAAATACTTGAGTGGCTGGTGTTCCCATGCAGCGACAGGCAGCTGGCTCCCTTTGGGCCCGCAGGAGTCACCACACATGCTGTGCCCATCTCCCCACCGGGCACTGTGGGATCCCGGCACGAAGGCCAGGGCTCAGGTGTTCCTACCAGGATACTTGCCCTTGTTTTTCTTGCCCCAGGCCTACTACACACACTTTCTATGCGTGCCTTTATAACTCCTTGGAAAGAGATGCGCTGACGCATGGAACAAGAATTCCCAGAGTCAGAATCCTGCTCAGTACCAGACAGGAAGCGAATGCAGTCCAAGGGTGCTTCCTGCTGGACAAGGTCCGATGTTCAGGGTTGAGCCACGGAGGGCCACAAAATTGAAATACCCCAGGCTCCAGCTCTCTCTCCCAGCCCGATGTTTAACAAATAATAAAGCAGAAAGATAACAGCATAATAATAACAATAATTGAGAAGGGTGTTTGAATTAACTGTATAAGACAAAAAGTAGGCTCACAGCTTCCCACTTAAAACTTTCTTATAAAATATGAGCCGGGACATGACAAGGGCATAAAAGTGAAACTAGAAGATCTAGAGGTAATAATTAATGAGAAATTAATGCCTTGGGGGGGATCGAGTTGAGCTAGAGATGTAAAAAGCAATACTTGGCACACAGACCAACAACAGCAACAACAAAATAGTGATACGAATTTCAGATTGAGGAAAATCACACAGGGTATGAGGGAAGGGACCAAAGGGTAAAGGTGATGAGGCATCAATAGCTCTGAAGAAACCAATTATTTAAAGAATATTTCTCTAAGTTCCTTGCTTATAGTTTAAAAAGTTGGACTACAAGTACATTCACGATTTTCCCGGAACATGTAGATTACAAAATACTCTCAGGAACTGATGCACACATTAAGTAGATCCTTAACTATGATACAAAGTGAAAAAGTCCTCTTAAATTACTTAAAGCTATCAGCAAACAATTTCGATTCAACACAAATTGAAGAAGGAAACAGGTTTGCAGTTATTTGTGCAAAGCCAGGGTCACATAACATAAAAAGCTACCATGATAACAGAAAAAAGGGAAAACTACAAAGAAATCTTTCATAAATATTAATAGAAAAATTCCAAATAGATGATGAGCAATAAAAGTGTCCCCTAAATTTAAAAAATACCAATGCTAAATGGATATTACCCATAAATACAGATAGGATTGAATGCTAGAAAATCCATAAAATAAATCTTCATATAGAAAGACCAGCCAGGCATAGTGGTTCACGCCTGTCATCCCAGCACTCGGGAGGCTGAGGCAGGAGGATCACTGTGAGTTCGAGACCAGCCTGGGCTACATAGTGAGTTCCAGGTCAGTCTCAAATACAGAGTGAGAGCCATAAAAAACAAAACAAAACAAAAAAAACCCTGCAGGAAAAAAAATACACATTAGTTTGTCAGAAGCTGAAAGGGCATCTATTAAAATTTAGGGAAGTTTATCAACAGAAAAATCTCCTTATATCAAATTATTTTCATACTCAAGACTTGTATCTACCTGCCTATCTAATCATGTAAAAGCAAAGGCAAGTTAAATTATTCTCCGTACGCATGACATTGTCCTACCCCAGGACTCCTTAAGCCACTTCCTTCTGGCCTATGTATTGCTTTCCACAGCAATCTTATCCAGCCCAAGTTATTTAAATTCCACCAAATATTGACGCCTCCCAAGTATGCATCTTCATCCTCCTCTCTTTTCTGGAGCTTTAGACTCATGCCTTTAATTGCCCGCTTAGCCATCTGATGTGCATATTAAACTCCTCTCACCCAAACCAGACTCTGGACTTCAACTAGAAGCTGCTGTGTCTTTCTGTAAATGTTAACTCCATTTTCCAGCTTTTCCGGTCAAAGATGTGGGAGCCATCCTTGGTTTCTTTCCTTTCCTTATGCCCTGCCACTGGAAATCCTCTCAGATTTGTGTTTAAACTACATCAGGAATGTCTAGTACTATTTCTCCTCCTCCTCCTCCCTCGCGCCCC